ACCTCCTTCCTTTCACCTCCCTCCTCTTTCCTCCCTCCCCGTCCCACCTCCTCCTCCTCCCTCCTCCCTCCTCCCTCGCCTCCAGCCTCCCCTCCTCCTCCCCCTCCTCCCTCCTCCCTCCTCCTGCCTCAGCCTACCTCCTGTGATAGCTGGGTGTAGTGGCGCGCGTCTGCATCTGCCTCCACTGCCTCCAGCCTGCGGCGTTCCTCCTGCAGCCGCCTGGCCTTCTCCTCCGCGCGCTTCCTCTCCTCTTCCGCGCGGCGCAGGTTGTCGGCGATTCCCCGCTCCTCCTGCAGAGCGCGCCGGTTCTGCTCGCTCTTCTGCGCCCACGCTTCCCTGTACCTCTCCCTCTCACGTTCGGCTTCTTCTACGGAGAGAGAGACAGAGGAAGACGGGTTAGAAGGAGGGCCGCAGCGAGGTGCAGTTGTCGGGGAATCTTCCCCGGCGGTCCGCGACCCCTGTGTGACCCTCCTGCCCGGTCCACGACCCCTGTGTGACCTTCCCGCCCGGTCCGCGACCCCTGTGTGACCTCATTGTGTTGATGGAGTCAATTAGTGGCAACACCTATGCTTAATGAATACACCAACCTATTAGTGAATGAAGACTCTTCTTAATTGGTATAATTACTCTAGGCGTAATTCAATATAACGAGAAACACTTTAACTATGAATTTCAATTAGCGTTATATTGATTAAAGATCATAATGGGTAATAATTAAAAATCTTTTCAGCTTTAAATTTAAAATCACTTCTGTGCTGCATAAAATTAATGATTTTTCATATAAGGTGCAAAAGATAACAATATCCTCTTAATTAAATTACATTAATAATCACAACACTAATGAAGCTATTGCAATACCTTTATTTGATTATATACTATTGCTAAATATTGCTACGATTGTCTTTACATGACCTTGGTTATTGCTTGTATAATTTTTTATGGTAATATAGGAACAATGTGCACAATGATTGGTTTTCAAAGACATGTCATTTATCCGATACATCTATGCATTCTAGCATTTATCGGAAGCCCAGTAAAGAGGGGATCGCTGTATATTGTTTGCACTCGTTTTTTATATGATCCTTAAGAATGTTGAAGACAAATATTCCGTACAACATTGTACAACATTGTACAACATTGTACATTGTCATCGATAGGAAAATTTTCTTGCAAAAAGTTTAAATTTCACCTATGCTAATATCTTTAGGAGGGGGCTAATATCTTTAGGAGGGGAAGTCTTCGTTAAGGGAGGGGGAACCGGTTTGTAGACACGAGGCATACCTTCCCTCCTGCGGATCAGCTCCTCTATGTGTCGCTCCTCTTCCTCGTTATCCGGCTTCAGCAGTTCCTCTTTATATCTCTGCACCTCACACATTACCTGCCGCTGGATGGGATCCTCTTTCTGTTTCATCTCCAGCTGCTTCTGTTCCTGCAGCACAACACGAGGAGGTTAGAACGCGAGCAGCGGCAGTCTAAACACTAACCAACGCTGTGAGCTATTTTTCGAAAGTGGCATCTATTTTTTTACTGTGAGTTAAAAAATGAGAGAATTTTCATCTCCTCGGAGAAATAATCATAGAGCTATTACAACACACTGCCACGATGATTAGAACACAGACATCCTTTTCTTAGTTAAACAGCAACAACTTGGAAAGAAAATGGAACGTGAATGAAATAGAGCAAGCAAACAGTGAGACCTCAGATGAACATTACATGCAAAACGCACATCTATAAATATTTTGATAGATATATGGAATCACATCTAGCAGAACTAACTATGCAACTAATCTTATATAACACACCTATAAAATAAAAAAACGGTGCAAAATGCCACTACGTGAATAAAATGCCACGAACAGATCCTGTTTTATAGTGATGATATATTCTATAGCGATGGATTTTTCTACAGTGGCCACATCAATGACATGCGTCTGCCACTGCAGACTACACACTAGTGCACCACAGACAGACTTGCTATGAAGCAGCGCACACACTACCTGACGATGGTACCAGTTCCACCGCAGCTAAGTACATGAATAATGTAGAACGCGTCATTGAATATACGAATCAATCACGCGCTAGCGTTCGAGGCGAGTCGCCGGAAGAAATTCTGCATGAATTAATTACCGCAATTAATAAATCATTAATTGTACAGCCGGGCGAACGCGTGCGATATACGCTCCGGTGATGTTGTAGGGAGAATCTCCCGAGAGAGAAAATGTAGGGAGAATCTCCCGAGAGGGAAAAAGAGACGATATGCTGAGTGAATCTCTGCATTTTGCCGCCACAAAAGGAAGACCGCTCCACTTTTTCTCTCTCGGGAGATTCTCCCTACATTTTCTCTCTAAATTCTCTCTACATTTTCTCTCTAGATTCTCCCTACATTTTCTCTCTAGATTCTCCCTACATTTTCTCTCTAGATTCTCCCAACATTTTCTCTCTAGATTCTTCCTACACCTGCCCCTTCCTCCTCTACCAGCTTCCCGCCTCCTCACCTGCTCCCTTTTCTTCCTCTCCTCCTCTCTCAGTGTGGCTTGCTTTGTCTTGTACTCTGCCTGTAAGGCTTGGATCTCCTTGTTCTCCCTCTCCCCGCGCTCCCTCTCCCGCTTCCTCAGCTTCTCCTGTTCTAGATCGAAAAGGCTCTTCATGCGCGGGAAGGTCACCACCGGCTAGAAAGGAAGCAGCGGGGAAGGTGAGCTGCTTGAGGAGGTCACCGCGGTCAAGGGAAAGAAGAGAAGACACAGAGACAGAAGAGAAAAGATAGTTACCAGGGGAAGAGGGAAAGAAGGGAAGACGAAGTTACCAGGGAAACCCTCTGTTCTTGTCTTCGGTGTCTTTCCTTCTTCCTCTGATTACTGTTGTTTTCCTGCTTCCTCTGATTGTCGTATCTTCCTTTCTGCCCCTTAGTGACTGTGTCTTCCCTTTCCCTCCTTGTCTTCGGTGTCTTCCCCTGATTGATGTGTCTTGCCCTCTGTCCTTGTCTTCGGTGTCTTCCTCTGATTACTGTGTCTTGCCCTCTGTCCTTGTCTTCGGTGTCTTCCTCTGATTACTGTGTCTTGCCCTCTGTCCTTGTCTTCGGTGTCTTCCCCTGATTGATGTGTCTTGAAGGACAGAGGGCAAGACACAGTAATCAGAGGAAGACACCGAAGACAAGGACAGAGGGCAAGACACAGTAGTCAGAGGAAGACACCGAAGACAAGGACAGATGGCAAGACACAACAATCAGGGGAAAACACCGAAGACAAGGACAGAGGGCAAGACACAGTAATCAAGGAAAGGAGAAAAGCCACCTTGAGCAGGTGAAGAGTAGAAACAGTGCTCAGGGAAAAATGAAACCACAGTTATCAGCAGGAAAGGAAAGGAACAGTGTTTAGCAACAGACAGAAGAGAAGTCAAACCAGTCATAGTCACAGAACAAGGAAAGTAACGGTGGTCGCACTGCAGCGGTCTAGCTAATTCAAACAAAGTGACAGGAGCGTTGGACTTAAACCATTCTAGATCTTCTGACGCACACACATCTGTGTATGAGCGCTCGCATGCACTTGCACGCTAATGAAATTCCCACTCCCCCCTGCCACTATTACATCGTTTGTTCGATTTTTAATCCTTCGTACCTAATGAATATTGCAACGTGTTAACTCAAAATGCATGCTGGTACGGCTGATGGCCTAACATTGTCAATAAACATGCCACGTGTACCGCAGAGCTGAGCTGCCATTCTCCATCAAACACAGTGTAAGTGCTGTCATCTACCTATCACAAATAGCAGGGCACGAAGGGTCGTTGTCGTATAATGGTGTATAATATGTACCCGAAGTAACTATCTGATATGGATAGGGTTAGGGTGTTAGGGTTATGGTTAGGATTAGGGTTAGGGTTAGGGTTAGGGT